AGCAGTGTTTCTCAACCTTGGCCACTTGAAGATGTCCGGGCCTTCACCTCCCAGAATTCCCCAGCCAGCGAATGCTGGCTGGGGAATTCTGGGAGTTGAAGTCCAGACATCTTCAAGTTGCCAAGGTTGAGAAACACTGTTCTATAGAACCATTGCAAAACAGCAGCAGAAGCATCACTGCAAAGTAATTTTTGTAGTAGTCCACGCAAATGAATAAAGCCCTATTAGGTGTTGAAGTGTCTGGGAAAGAAACGACGCCAATGCTGAAAACTGGTAGCCCTTCTCAGTAACAACATTCCCAAAGAGCTGTTCCCTGTTGCAGATCTTCAGTAGTTGGGAAGGAAATACAGAAGACTTCCAAAACTTTTGAGAGCTTGTGTGGGAAATAAGGAAACAATGCTAAGGACTGGGCAGGTCAGGCAGAGGCAATAACAGAACAACATGCATTGGAAGGGACCCTGGAGGTCTTCTAGTCCAACCCCCTGCTCAGGCAGGAAGCCCTGTATCATTTCAGACAAACGTCCGTCCGGTCTCTTCTTAAAAACCTCCAGGGTTCTTGAGCACTGAATCCGAAAACCCCAAATAGTTCTGTCCGCAAGGATTTCCCAAAGACCTTGGGGGCCCCATCTGCTTCTGTTGACTTCGGCCTTTTGCTGCCCCCGTGCCAAGAGGGGCTTGGGCAGGCCTTGGCAGGGGCAGAGCATCGGAGTTAAGGGTATTCTCTGAATGGATTGCCTCTTTCTGGGTTAAACTGGCCCACATTTCTGTGCTGTCGGTTTGTGTGCCTAGCATAGAGGTGGGCCGCCTCCTGAACGTGTTACCCATTTTATCCTGAGCCTGTTTCAGGGAAGTTTATATAAATAAACTTATCTAAATCTAAATCTATCTAAGGGATGCAGTTGCTTTAAAGAACATCTGGCAGGCTTTGTTAAGAACATGCAAATGGAAGGACCAGGGCCAGCAAGGACAACATTGAAAGAGGGGAAATTAAAAGGGGGATTTCCGTCCTCCTTGCCAAAGCAGAATGCCTCCCTGGTCCAGTAACAGGCCCATAGAGGGTGCATCTGTGCTTGCCTGATAATGCTGGCTCAAATGTTTGTGCAATTCTTGGGTAAATCCCATTGCTGGCGGTGTGCAATTCGGGGAACCAGAAAGCGGCCACTATTTTTAAGTTCCCCTGCTCACTGCAAAATATGAAACACTCATATAATTGAGAGACCGCCTGCTGCCAATTACCTCCCAAAGACCCATTAGATCACACAGGGTCGGCCTCCTCTGGGTTCCGTCTACCA